TTTGAATTTTTGCCTTTGTCCAATCTTTCTTCTCCTTGTTACCCACTATTAGTTGAATCTATAACTACCCGATGACCCTTTTCTTTAATCGATCATAATCATTTTCTAAAAGTATCAAATCAATACAGGTATCATCGGTTATCCAGCCTTTCTCCTACGTCCTTCACTATGATTTTTCCTATGTCGAATCAAATTTGAATCTGTACGATAGGATGCTGTAATATTTTTTTAGGATCAGTTGAGGAGCAACAAACAAATGCGTCATCTATTCATTCTTGTACTTGTGCCAGTAATCTGTCAAGGTACGTAAGTAGAGGCAAAAGTAAGCAAATTATACTCAATTTAAATGACTTTAAAGTGCATAATCTTGAAGCAAGGGAAAACTACTTGAATAAGTCAATAGATTTACCAGGATGTATAGTTGGTTTTATAACTGAAGAAAGACTATCATAGTTTCACAAATGCCTTTCTCAAAAATTTATTTGTCAGGAAAATTCTTTTAAGCCATTGATTTGCGCTCACCTTGCAATGAATCAGTTGATTTGGGCGATGCCGAATGCGATAAAACCCCATCTATAAGGGTACTCCTGTTTTTAATTATTTGATAGAATAGTACAATCTATCCACGATATTTTAGTACTATATGGATAACGAAACGCTTTCATGCCTTCCATTTAAATATAGTGGATGTGGCGGAAACGAGAACAACTTTGAATCCACTAGTGCCTGCCATTTCAAATGTCTTCCAAGTCGGTTTCCTTCTTCATCCATCTATTCGCTCATTCATCCGTGTTAGACTATTAAATTTTAGTGGATTTTCTCAGCTGTCCGGCCAACAGGCCACCTGTCAAGAAAGCGGATGGGTCACCGAGTTGTAACCATGAGATGAAATGTCCAGCAGGATCAACATGCCATAAAGGGTATATCGTTGGGTTATGTTGTGACAACAAAGATGCTGGTAAGCTGGGTTTTCATTTATTGCCTCTTTCGCGCTTAATTTTATTTAACCCTTTCTGCTACTCTTCTTTTGGTTTAGTACAGCTTTTTTAAATTTCCATATTTTCAGAGAAATACCGTGCCGATCAGAAGCCGGATTGTGGTCACAAAAAA